TGCTCACTTCACTCGTTACCTGGGGTGCGATGGTTTCATTCGTGCCTTTGGTGGCCCGGCTGCCTGGAGCGTGGTTTCGTCCGTGCTTCGGGTGGCTGGCTCCGGGTGGTGGTTGGTTCCGTTTGTTTTTCCCCCCTTTTTGGTTTGGGGTAGTTGTGGTTTCCGCGGCTCTCTTCTGGGCTGCGGCTTCCTTGCTGTGGTCTGCTGCGGGGGCAGGTTACTGCTCCCCAGCGCTCATGCGCTGTCTACTTGGGGGCAGTTCATGGATAAAGTGATGATGATGGTCATCCAAGTTGACTACTGTTTTCTGACAACCGGTGATGGATGCCCAACCGCGACTGTTCTTACTGCTGTAGACACCCAAACTGGATTCGGTTCTGCTGTTGTGACTCCTAGCAAAGATAGAGACCAGTACTGTATTGCTGAACTGAAACGTTTTGTTTTTGAGATTGGAAGAACTTATGGTATCATTCAATACGACCCAGAACCTTCACTGAAGGCTTTGGTTTCAGAAACGCTGACTGAACTTGGCGGAATGTCCATGAGAGCAACTCCACGTGACTGGAAACAGGTACATGGTTTTGTAGGTAAGTCTCAACAAAACTTTTACGGTCAAGCAAGAGCAATCAGACTGCAACTGCAGGAGCGATACAATGTGCAAATTTCCGTGCAACATGCTGTTTATCCATGGGTTGTGAAAGACGCTCAGTTTACTTTGAACCGTTTTCTCATTCACTCTGATGGAAACACCTCATACTTTCGACCTTGGGGAAAGAACTATAGCTCGACTGTGTGTGAGTTCGGAGAAACTGTTCTGTTTCTTTATCCTGGAAAACTGAAAGACAAAGGGGACACTGCATGGAGCACTGGCATTTGGTTAGGACGTGACACTGAGGCTGATGAGCACATTGTGTCCACTGGAACTGGCATCACTAAGGTGAGAACTATCAGGCGACAGGTCCCATCCAATGGGATCAGAAACTGTTTCTGAAACTTCAGGCGACTCCTTGGGATCCAAGCGCGAAACAGGTGATTGACACTTCATTTGTGTTGCCTCCAACTTTGACTTCCACTGGAAGAGTCCGTGAACCACCAGGACTCGAACGTGAAACTAAAACGGGTACTGAGGATTTACCAACGGAAGAGACTCATGAGACTGTCACTGAAACGCAAGACGACTTGAAACTTGGAACGCTTGAAGCGACTGAAACTGAAACGACACTTCCACCAGAAACGAGAGTTAGAAACGAAAAACGAACTGCTGAAAATCAAGAACTTCCTGAAGACTTGCTTTCGGATGACAAACGACTCACTATTGCCGCAATCGGAGTTTTCTCTGTTGCTTTGAAAGACAGAACTGAAGTTCCCGTCGCAGTAAACGAAGACACTGAATTGAAGAGAAACAGACGGAAATCAAACTGAATGAACCTCAACTGTTGAGAACTGAACCAGAATTTCCTGATGAACTTGTCATCGAAGGAATGCAAAAGGAAATGAAAAGCATGAAAGAATTTGATGTGTATGAAGAAGTTCCAATAGAACAGTGTTCGCAAGAAGACATTGACTCAGCACTTGACTGCAAATGGGTGAAACGCTGGAAGACTGCAAACACTGTCAGATGCAGACTCACTGCTCGCGGATGCTTTCAAGAAAACATGGATCAAGACACTCTGTTCGCAAGTACACCTACATTGGTGACACTCAGAGTACTGCTTGTTATGATGTTGTCTAGAGCATGGTCATGTTTTACTTGTGACATAAGCACTGCGTTTCTTCATGCACTCATGATGAACCGTGTACTGCTGATTCCACCAAAAGAGTAATATCCTGGGCAGAACTGCCTCTGGAGACTGAAACGGGCAATGTATGGTTTGAAGCCAGCGCCAGCACTGTGGCAACAACACTTTTGTTCAACGATGCTGAATCTCGGAATGAGACGCTGCAAAGCTGATCCGAACTTGTACTGTCATCCCTCTGGCGACTTGTATGCCCTTTGCTACGTAGATGACCTTTTGGTTTGTGGAAAGCACGAACTTGCCGTGCAATTCACCAAAGGCCTGGAAAAGGAAGTTTTACTCAAAATTGAAGCTGAACTGAAGCCTGGTAAGTCAGTAAATTTTCTTGGACGCGTTTTGCGACATAATGGCGATAGCGAGACATTTGCATGCCGCAAGACTACATCACTAAGACGCTGGACTTGTACAACATGGTCAAGGCTAAAGCGGTAGGAACCACGGGTACCACTAGTTTTTCACACCGACTGGACTTGGATGATCCACTAAGCGCTGACGAACACAAAGTTTATCGCACTGCTGTTGGAAAACTGTTGTGGTTAGCTTTGATCAGACCAGACATGTATGTCCTATGCGACTAAGGAACTTTCAAGAGACCTGACTGCACCGACAAACCGACTTCGTTCGGGGATCACTCTTAGTAGCAACAAATGCACTCTTGATTTGGGCTGTTTTGTGGACAGTGACTGGGCTGGTTGCCAGCGAACTCGAAAATCAACTTCAGGCGTTGTTTGTCAAACCCCTCAATTGTCCTGCAGACTTTTGCACAAGAACTCAGGGTACTATCGCGCTCTCCTCAGGAGAAGCCGAGCTGTACGCGATAGGACAAGGAATTTCTGAAACACTGTACGTAAGAAACTTGATTCTCGACGCGGAACTGGCAAAGAAAGTCAAACTCCACATTTACACTGACAGCACAGCAGGAAAGAGCATGGCAACTAGGTTTGGTTCTGGAAAGAAAACCAAGCACGTTGAACTGAGATTTTTGTACATGCAAGACTTGGTTTCGCGGGGAGACCTCCAAATACGCAAGGTTCATACTACTGAAAACTGCGCCGACCCCTTTTCTAAACCCCTGGACACTGAAACTTTGAAATCACACTTAGGTAGTTATGTGTTGAAACTGTTTTTCGTTGTTTTGATTTGTAACCTCGAACTATACAGGCACTGTTTCACCAAGACACTGCGGAAACTCACTTTGGTAGACTAAGTTTTCAAAGGGGAGACTGCGGCTGAACTGCCGCTGAACTGTAGCTGCAACTCAGCACTCTCACTTCGTCTTTGCAGTGAATTTGGCCAAGAGTTCACTGAGTTTTGCTTTTTACTGAATTTCAAGAAATCAAATCTGCATGACTGTTTGAACTGAGTACTGAACGGTACTCGAGCACAGGAACTGAATTCGACTCTGCAACTCGTTTTTCGTGGTTCAAACCCACTCGCTGTTTGACTGCAATGACTGGTAGAGACTGAAAAGGAGTACTACCAGGTACTACGTCACTGTAGCGCTGCACTACCTCCTCTCTGACACTGAGGATGGCAACTGAGACTGCCGCCGTGGCCGTCGCACAGAATGGAGAGACTCAGAATACTGAGGTAGCACTGACTGCTGTTCCAGACACTGACGCCTACAATACTGTGATTGAGATGCTGAAGAGTCGGGAACTAGAACTTAGTGTTACTCAGCTGGGACTGTTGGAAAGTGTGACTCGCCAGATGCTGGATCGCAACGCAGCACTGGAAAAGAAGTGCACTCACCAACTGCTCAACCACACTGAGCTGTCCTGCACTACAGTGGACTGTACCTGTGCCGTACTACTCGGCCCACTGCGACTACCACGTGCAACTCCTTTGGACTTGGACTGCTGGTCGCACAGAAGATTGGCTACGAGTCTACTGATGATGTGTGGATTGGCGTACTCTCACCCAACTCGGTGTTCCCGGGTCTGAGTACTGCCCACTACGCCTACTCAGAGACAGAACTGCGACTGTACTCGCAGCCACTGCAACGGGTGACTACTGAGTACACTCACCTGACTGACAAGCAGGTGGACTACCCTGTCTTCCTGTCACTTCCACTCACACTGTCAGACTTGGCACTGGCAACTGGGGAAATCCCAACTGAGTGGTTTGATCGGTCACTGTGCAACTTGTGGACTGATCTTCGAAGCGCTTTGCTGTACTCAACACTGCAACTGTGGAAAGGTCAGGAGAACTTCCAGAAGTACTCCACTGAGCCACTGAGGGTCACTGCTGTGTGGCTCGAACGCACTAAGGTTGCTGGACTGAAGCAATTCAACCGAGGATACTTCAGCCACTCCTATGTGAATGCAACTGGTGCTGTGAACTTCGAACTGACTGACCTAGAGACTGAGTCAAGTCAGACCTTCCAGACTGCCTATACACTGGCGGACTTTGCCGACTCACTCTCCAAGGAACTGAATGGCACTCGCTACTGCAATGCCCATCGTCGTTTTCTTTTTGGGCACTTGCCACTGATTCAGTTCCAAATGGAGAAGGCTGGACTTGCCAGCACTCCAGCGGAACTGAAGAAGTTCACCTCGGACCACAATGGCACCGGAACTGCGGCCTTGCCAATCACTGAGATTGGCACTGATCTCAAGGTTGACATCCAGATCAGCGGATTTGGACTGTCATCCACTGACACTGTGATCACTGTGAAGAAGGCCGACTGAGATGACACTGAAAGGCTCTGAATTCAGACTGTTAGCAATAGGAGTAAGCACTCAACTGAGAATGCTGAAGACTAGGTTGACTGTCTGTGCATGAGACTTGGAACTAGCACTTTAGACTTTCACAAGTGTATTGAAGTCCGTACTTCTCAAGACTTGGACTGTTTAACTTGCACGTACTGTAATAAGTGTGGATCCTCAGTCACTCAATTGGACTGCTGATTCAAAGGGGAGTGTTAGATATGACTGTCACTCTGCACTCCACTGCACAGTACACTGAATCTACTGCACTGCCAAACTATGGTTTGGCTCAAGTGGCACTAGGAACTCAACTGACACGGTGAGACGTTGTACTGTGACTGATAGACTGGCGTGAGTGAAAACTAGAAGCTGACTGACACTGCACTGTTTGGTGGACTTGAAAGTGAACTTGAAGCTTCGCACTGCTTCTGGCCACTCACAGAGGATGTGTCTAGAATTTTTGCTGATCCTTTTGACCTGCAGATCCACGCCACAGGATTGTTCCCCACATGTTCTGTGTGGAGGGTATGACTCGCTTCAGGTCGGGGGTGGACAGAACGGGAGCATCAAATATTTTTCCATTGATGGGTCATGGCAACCATTCCAGGGTCAGCCAGATTTGGCCACAAAGCCTGGGGATTGACACCGGCATTTGCGGGTGCTTCCAGGTCTTTGGTGGATTTGCTTGACATCCCTTTGCTCGGGCAGCTCGGCGCGATGGGAGGCTTCAGGCCGGTGGTTTTGCGACATGTTGAGTGAGCTTGACCAAAGTGCTTTCAAATGCCTTCTGACGTCTACTTTTTTTGGTTTGTGCTTCCAAGCCCTTTCGACCCACGCTTCTTTTGACAACAGGTTTGCTTTGACGGTTTTGAACTGGTTGCAAAAAGCATAGCATGGAGATCTTCATGTTATCCAACCAATGACAAACGGGAAGCGGGATGTTTGGGCATGCCATTGCGACACTAGTGGTTGGTTACGTTTGTTCATATCTCTGTCCCACCCTGGCGTTTCCCAAAGATGGTCGAAACCAACATTTGTAAAGTGCCCGCATTGTGCTTGCCAAGGAACCATGATCACACCATTTGGTTGGCAACGGATAAGGCCACCACCGTTTAGTTGGAGATTGCATGGTTTCACGTTTGGAACTCCCCAATTCTTCGCCGTTTAGACGTGGTTCCATGCTTCCAAGAAGAGGCCATTCCATTTGGAGTTGGGGTCGATCAATTTGCAAGACATAAGAAAAGGCCTGTCCTCGGAAAGGCCCGAGAGGCGTGCGAACAACCATGGCGTGTTCCACAATTTGGCTGTGGTTTCTTGATGGGGGGTGTATAGTAACTGTGTTTCAATTTGTTTGGTGCCGGTTTGTGTCTTTGGCTTTTGTGGCCTTTTGCTTTGTCCGGAGTTTCATAGCTTCCGCATCTTCTTTTGCTGCCATGTACAAGGGTTTGTCGCGTTTGCATCCGGTGCCCTTGTTCCCCAAACAGTTTACTACTGTAGCGGTTTTCGATGCTTTAAAGGAATGGCCACCTTGGTGTGAGACGGTGTGGCCGGGTCTCTGGCTGGTTCCTTGCATTTGTCCCCCTTTGTCTTCCTTATTTGCCTCCCTTCTTGTTGCATGGTGCGTCCGCCTTCTCACTCCTTGTCTCCTTTCTAGTTACTGTAAGTGTAACAAAAAATGCGAACAGCATGACGGATGCAGTAGTGTTTGCTGTGCTGTTTCCAACCACCTGTTTGGGGCCTACAGTGGTGTAATTTTACAAGGGTGTGACTTCTGCGTTTTCTTGCTCCAGTTTACCAAGGTCTTTGCGGCTTTGCCACCCATGGTTGTGCTAGTTATTGATGCTATTTGCAAGTTTTCGTGGTCGCTGTAGCATTTCTTTAGGTAAATGCCCTCATCGAAATCTTTGCTCTTGCTTGTGGGGGAGGCTGCTCACCCCGCTAGTTTAAGTGGTACAATTGCGCCAATACCAGGTAGCTGAATGAAAATAATAGTTGTCACATCTGCGTTGAAGTTTTTGTTACAGAATGCGATACCTCAAGGCCGGTACAGAATGGTTTTTGGCTACCATTTTGTGCAAAAAATTGATTTTGGGTGAAGCCATATTGTGAGGGTACCCCACCCTGGCCCGATGTTTTATATCGGTTTTGGGGTTTCCTACTCTCCAGTCCCGACCATTCTGTACTGGGTCTGAAGAGGGCTAATCAGTGACCATTACAAATTGGATGGGTTCAAAACGGGGATGGATAATGCTCAACTATAGCCCTACAAACTGGACGGATTCAAAACTAGATGGGTAACAGTAACACCATAGCCCCTTACAAACTGTACGGGTTCAAAAGTCCATGGATAATGTTCATAGTCTGAGTCTGAAAGATCTCAATATCAGAATGTATATTGAATGCATCGAGCTCCAATGCGAACCAGCAGAGCCTTTTGTTAAATTACTTTTTTTCTCGATTTAATGAAAACAACATTTGTTTGGAAAAAATGACGCAATGGAATGACAAAATGACACAGTCGAAAATATGATACATAAAAAAAATCGTTATTTTAGCGTTTTTTAAAGATCGTGCTATTTCTGGAGATTTGTGAAGAAAATTCAGATTTTCTGTGTAGTATTTTTTGGTACATTAACTGCAACATCAAAAAAATGCTAACGCAATATGTTTGATGACAAAACCGAATGACAAAACGACATTTTTTCGCCTTAAATGCAATAACGAGAATGTTCGAGATGATTTAGATCATGACATCCAACTGTCGGAAAACCTATTTTAGAAAAGATTGGCAAATTGTATTCAAGGGTTGGTCCGGCTACTTAGAATTATGAGTCCAACAACACAGAGAATATAGGGTTTGACAAAAAAAATAGAAAAACAAAAAAAACAAAACCAGAGCAAACAAAAAAAACAAACTAGAAAACAAAAACCAAGGAAAAAACAAGAAAAAAACAAAAAAAAACAAAAAAAATCAAAACCTGCATTTTCCGCAGTTTTTGATTTTTGTTTGTTTTTTTCTTGTTTCTTCTGGTGATTCTTCCTGTTGATTTGTTTTTTTGGTGATTCTGTTTTTGTTTTTGTTTTTTTTGGTTTTTTAATTTGTTGCTAAAATCAACTTTTTCTGTTCTACAGGGGGTCATAAACTTCGAAAACATCACGGAAAAAAGCGTCTGAACGCTGAACAACAGCAACGAAAAAGAACAGGAAAAATGAAAGGCGACTCGGGAATGTGGTCGGGTCGGCCGGGCTGTTGGGGGTTGTTGTCTAGGGATCTTAGGAGAATTCGTTTGATAGCCACCCCCAGTCCCGACCATTCTGTAAAGGCCCAGCTCGAGCGAGCGGATGCGAGCGGATGGGAGTCGAGCAAAATCGGGGTACCATTCTGTAACTAGGGGTCAGCTTAGCCTGCCATTTTGTAACAAAAAATTGCGTCTGTGAACGTTGGGTTCTGCCAAATTGTAAGAAGTGCACCTTGGGCACACCATTCTGTACTTACAGAATGGGGCTCCCAACCCCTCGGACCCAACCTGAACCGGGATGTTGTCACCATTCGCACACAAACAACAGCAACAGCAACAGCAACAACAACAACAACAACGACAACGACAACGACAACGACAACGACAACGACAACGACGACAACGACAACAACGACAACAACAACAACAACAACGCATCAGCGGCAGAAACCACAAAGCCTTGCAGATGGAAGTGGGGTTAGATGTACTTTGTCCTTTCAAATTCAGACGAAGCAACACCTTTTCAATACAAGCAAACACGGAGGCAGCAAAAATAAAAACGGAGCTCACAATGCCATGAAAGGAAACACAAAATACCGCACCAATGGATGGGGAAGTCACAAAAGAGTGCGGGCTCGCTTAGGATGGTCGAAACATGTCGAAACGATATCGCTTACGATGGTCCCATACGTCCACAACATGGTTACAACATGCTTTCATTTGGCAATGGTCGTTCTTTTGTATGAGCACCCGGCCCTCCAAACGATTGCTTTTTGCCACAAGTAACTGGCTGGGGGCGGATAGCGGACCGCGTGTCGATGTTTTGTTTGTTCGGGTTTTCGCCACAGCGGCGTTGTGTTTGTTTGAAGTATTTTATTTTTCGCAGCGAGAACCTTTTTTTTGCAGTGTTTGGTGGTTGTTCGGGGGGGTTGGGCGGAGGTGACACTATGGGCTGCCTTGGATTCCCAAACCGCAAAGGTCTCGGATGCACACTGTTTTGACTGTGATCACTGAGGCAGTGATATGCGACAAGCCCTTGAGCCAAACACGCATTGTACAATAGTGGAAAGAACTATAAACATGACTAGTGAACAAGTGGCTACGCGTGTGACACACAAGTTCAAACTCTGAATTCGTGCCACATGCGCTTCGATGGTTTTTGGTTGCACTCGCTTAACTGCAAAGGCGGTATTTTGCTTGGGCACTTTTCTCAATATGGCCAAGAAAAACAAAAGACACATCGAGGGATGTATAGAAACTTGATGGATCACGTCTTTGATCCACCCGATTCCAGTTTGGAGGCAATAGTGCCGACCGTCGCTGGCCAGTACGGAACGGCAACAAAATAACCGCGTGTGCGGTGTCGGATGGTATTCTTGGGACTGATCATATTCTTGTACCATATCGTCGTCCTCGATTGACTTCTTCCTCAGCCCATTGATGCCTCTGATATCTCTGTTTACGTCTCTCAATCGCGCCCTTGGTCCTTGCGAGACAATTCTTTTGAGAAACCCAAAGGCACCGAACATCCTGACACTGACTTGCGAACCTATTATCCCTTCAGGCGTCGAATGGCCCTCAAGTCTTTGCAAAGTGCTCTGAAGATCTCATGGAGCACACCCGACCCCCAGGGCGTAGTGTGGTTTATGCTCACTAGGAGACTTTGGTGGCCAGTGCAAGTGATGTTGCCTTTACCGGTATACAAGTGAGAATGTTGAAGCTGCAAACTGTCACGGTTTAGCAGCTGTACACAAGTGAACCCTGACAGGTCCAAGTGATCACACAGGTGCAAGTGATGTTGTTTTGGCAGGTACAAGTGAACCCATTATCGTCACAAAACCCGGTAAGTGACAGCAGAAAAATCAGGAACTCACACCACCCTGCAAACAATCGCAAAGGGCAAGCCAGATGGCAAGGCAGATGTCAGGAAATGTTGCAAATAGCAGCAGAACTGCCAAGTCGGACCGGTCTGGCCGAGGCCATCACGAAGCAGATCCTCCATGCCAACGGCATTCAGGTCCCACAGGGCGAACTGCTTCAGAAGTTCCACTGCCGCTTCGGTGTCGGTCGGGTCAGTGCCGGATCACATTTTTTTTGGAAGCGAATTGGCGCTTCACTTCCCAAATTAATTGGAATTTTCGTATCGCCCCCTAATTCGGTTGAAAGTTGGGAATTTCCAAACCCCCAGGCCGCCCCGCTCATTTTAGGAGCATCGGCCTAGGTGAATGGCCCACGATGAAGGTGCCAGTGGTGGTGAAGCCTTGCAATGAGGACAACTCCAGAGGAATATCCTTGGTGAAACATGAGGAGGACACAACTTCCAGACAGCAGGCTTGAAACATTGAAAACCGGAAGTATTTTGCGAGCTCAAATTCCAGGTGTCGGGGTCTGAAAACTACTTGCAAGTGATCACATAATGTGCAAGCAGCGCCCAGTCATTTCCAAGCTTTCCACGTCAGCAGAGGCTGGTGCTGCCGCCCCGGCAAAACCAAATGGGAAAATACCACTTTCACAAGTTTTTCCCATGTTTTCCTAGTGTTTTTGGGAAAAGCTACAGGATTTGAAGTTCGCCATCGACCATGCCTTTAGCTTCGACAGCCGCGTGGTAGTCGAAGAGTACATCGCAGGGCGCGAGGTGCGAGCCGGCGTTATCGAGGAGGACATGGGACGGGGACGGGACGACCGTTTGAAGTGAGCAGAGCGGGGCCCAGGCTGTTTGTATATACCCAAAGTGGGCTGCCAATTGGACAGAATTAGTTTATGTATAATTACGGATTTAATGAACCTTGTGATCTTGCAATTGTTGGCCCAAGTGTTGGTAAGCTGTCCTGCTGGCAGAGAACTCCTCTGCAGGCATAGGTAAACAAGTCACATTTTGAACTCGTGAATTTGCACTTTACCTCAAGAAAATCTCATACTTTTGTATACTTTTGTTATCTTGTGTTATATCAAGGGGAATTTCAGGATCCTAAAATGGAGGTACTGTACCATAGAAGGCCATATTTTGCCGGGATATTCCCTTACATAAGCCTTACATATATGGTAGGTACCTCCAATTTAGGTTCCTGAAATGGGCATTGATTATAGGGGCCGAAAAACTCAACACGGGTAAAACCTCTCAGATCCTGACAGAAACGCATGGCTGTGCGAAAAGAAGCGTTCATCATCGGTACCATTGTTGCCGGTACAGTGGTGATTTTCCTCTTTTGTTTTTTGACTTTGCAAACTTGACCTAAGCGACACTCAGCCTTTTACGAACATCAGTGGGACAATTTCTTTCGCCCTAATCGCCACGCTTTCATATCCGTAGGACGGTGGCTTGACGGTGCTTCCAAAGGTGGAGTACTTCTTGAAGGTGGCCCGCCAAGAAATTGACAGATTGTCTTATGTGTTCAAAATGAACGTGAAAGACCTTTCAGTACTTGTCATATTTTGTCATTTGTGTTTATCATTTTTCAAAAAGGCAATTTGTTGACATTGCAGCTAGTGAGTCAGTGCCTCCTGATTTGATTTTTCTCGCAAGAGAGCCATTTGTGTCCTGCGCGTGGCCCATCTTGTAATCGTTGCAGCCTCCATCTGACAATTTTGCTCATTCCATCTGGGACTCCATGGTTGTTTGGAATCTATAGAGACTTTCCTCACACCGTTCTAGCGATTCATCAAGTCCATAGCACCATTGATGCATCGCCTCCGACGCCTGAATGTCAAGGACATCCGCACTGCAGCGCACAAACTACAGACGGACAGCAGTGGCAACCTGCTCAACAAGGCCATTGTGGCAGCTAAACAGGACTGAACGCCACATCCGTAAGCCGTTGTTTTCCATGACTGTTGGACTGTGTTGGACCGTTAGTTAGCAGATGTTAGATGTATATAAACCCCGCAAGAATAGTCTAATTGCAGGGTATATAGGTGCACGTCCTGGAAGAAAGGTTCCTCTGACGTCTACTTCTAGCCATCCAGGGCACTATTTTCAAGGAGGCATGGGACACGTGAGGCCAAGTTTCTTTTGCGCAGCCGCCCTTTTCCACATGTTTCCCTTTGAAAGGCATTCAGAAGATTCAGAAGGCATTTCCGCCCAAGTGACGTTCAGCAGGACGGGGACAGGCAGTGCCCGGCGGACCTCAGCGACGTGCTTCATCAGCGCATTGATGCTATGGTCACCAAGGTGGGGTCATTTTATCGCAAGATACAATGAAAAATGAGTCACTGTTGTTCTTATATTGAGGAGTTGTTTTCATACCATTATTGGACCTGAAGAAAAATGAGCATGGGGCCATTGGCCATGCAGATTTACGGAGCCAATGTTCTACATATCAAACGACAACGTCACTTTCCTGGTGTTTGCACAAGTTGGTTGTTTGTGTATATGTCCCACCCTGTCCAACCTGTGAACTGTAAACTTGCACAAAGTTCCAGAAGGTTCGAAAGCTAAACCCACGACACCCTTCGATTTGCAGCGCGCAGTTGCAAGACTTGTCTGGGGACGGGAGGCCCATCATGTGCTGAAATGCCGGCACTACTCGCTCTATGACATCCGGATTGACGAGAATGAGCAGCCCTTTATCTTGGAGGCACGGGAAGACAGGAAGACAGGGTCCCATTGCTCAAGCAGTCAAGTGAAGAGTGAACTGTGCTCAGCTGCATATGTTGGAAAAAATTAGGCCCATGCAGGATGTTCAGTGAAAGCGCAATATTCAGCCTTGAATCAATAAGTTTAGGCGCTTCCTCTGCTATGAAAAGTGCACCAAAACTTAAACAAAAACATTCCCCAGATTCGAAGTGTCACCGCCACGTGTAAAAGCGTGGCAGAACTGACCCCTGCATGTGGCTGGGTTGCTTGCTGGATGTGGCAGGGGCGGGGCAGGTGCGTTTGTTTCATGTGGCAGGTGTCACCCGCACTCTCCCTTGCCGCCCAAGATTCCAAATTATTCTCGACGCCTCGTTCAGTCAGGAACGGGCATATTAAACTGAAATTGCAGTGATTTTCAAAACGAGAGCGATCCGGCACGCACAAAGTACGCCGAGAGTCACATGAGCGAAAGTTGCAAAGTCACCAAATACTTCCCGCACCGCAAAAAATGAATGATCAAAATTTGAAGATTTGTTTGCCTAGACAAGGTGCCGGTTTTCTAAGAGGCCTCAAAAGTACTGCGCCTGCAACGAAAAGTGGGCGCAAGGCATACGAAGTACAGCGCCTGCCAGGCAAAATCATCACTACCGAATCCTAAAGTGACGACGGCTTCACAAAACGAGCGTAAATGCTGCGCCTACCACGCGGAATGAAGAGTGTCCAAAGCCACGCGCAAAATGACGTTTTGGACCCCCAAATGCGCAGAATCCATTGCACCTAAAAAGCGCACAAAACAATGAATTTGTTGCTCCATGGCGAATCCACGTAAAATGAAATTGGCTCCTAAAATGCATGGCGCCACAACGAGAACGCGCCTCCGACAAACACCCGCACACGATGCAGTTTTTATGCAGGCCTGCAGTCGGGATGCAAAGCGATTTGGAGCGGGCCCGCTCATGAGAAACGACGCCGAACAAGATGCGAACCCTCAATCTAGAACCCGGCCTCACTATCACCGTAAGAACCCCTAGGCTCTAGTGCAGACACACTGTTTGAAGAAATATGTTGAATTTACGCCAAAGAAAAGTTTGGCTCCGTTGATACCTGTCTTGTGCAATTCAGGGCATTTCGCATTTCGAATCTGTAGGCATTTGTTGCACAAGTGGTAAAAGAGGCCCTTGCGTTCACAAGGGTTATGAGCCCAACGTTGTGAAGGGGCCAGGTGGGATTCATGGAACGTGCCAGATTTTTGGCTGCACGTGGTGACGGCAGAGGCGAGGCTTCGAATCCTTTCTGGTCGGACAAGGTCAAAGAGGAGATCGCTTTGTCTGCAAGTCGGCCATCTGATCTACCGGATGGTGATGGTTCCTTGGATGAAACTCCAGTGCCAGTGAAAGATGGGCTCTGGGGAGGAGGAGCTGGAAAGGGGCGCGGCATGTCGTCTCTAGGCCAAGGCAATAGTAGCTTTGTCACTCCACCAAGTAGAAAATCCAAGATGCCGGTCACTATAGGGGCGAATGCCAGTAGAAACTGGGATCGAAACTATGGGCAGCGTTCATGGTGCAACTGTTGAAACTGGATCGGATGGCCTCAAGATTGCATTGGAGAAAGAGATGCTTGATTTTTTGAGAGAACAGAATCTGCAATTGCAAGCTGAGAATGAGCGCCTGAAAAAGATCCAACAGCATGGTATTGAACGTAGTGAACCTGGTCATGGCGATTCCTTTACTTCATGGTCAGAAGTCGGGGGAGATGGAAGTAGCGGTTTGCATGGTGGTGGCATTGAAGGGTTGCAAAACTCCACGCAAAGACAAGCTGCTAGATGGGGCATGTAGGTTCACTCCAAATGGTACCAGGGTCCCAGATACGTCACCCCCAATGGATGCTCAACCAGTACCACAAGCACCACCTTTGCCTCCTGTCCCTCCTTTTCCAGCGTTTCCGGAAAGTGGTCAACGCGTGGAGCAGTTTCTGGATGGATATGAGAGGACAAAGGGGTCGGACCAAAAAGGGAAGCTGGGTGATCGTCAGTGGAAGCCAAATGAAGTAGATCAAAAGAGTCTCAAGGGGATCAGTTCACATGAACTTTCACCAAGTGAAGCTAGGGAAGTATGGCTAGAGCGAGAAGTGCAATCGTTGCGGTCGGTTTTGGATCGCATGGCAGATCAAACATCGTTCAAGTCATCTCCATACTGGTCTCAGGGATTTCAGTCAGGGGCTCCAAATCAAGTCTCTGTCATGCGGGCGTCGGGAGATCGTGATGACATTCGGGCTCAGCATTCTTTGAGCAGTGCTTTTGAAGTTCCACATGACGATCGGGCTCAGCATTCTTCCAGCGGTGTTGCAGATCTACTCCATGCAGCTCGGGTCTTGAATGGTGCGAGCAGTGCTCCGGCTCTACCACTGCAGCGGTGCTTTTAACGTACCGCATGACGGTCGGGCTTTGCAGGAGACTGGCAGCGGTGCTTTTAACGTACCGCATGACGGTCGGGCTTTGCATGGATCTGGCAGCGGTGCTTTTAACGTACCGCATGACGGTCGGGCTTTACATGGATCTGACAGCAGTGCTTATCAAGTACCACATGACGGTCGGGCTTCGCAGGCATTTGGCAGTGCTTCCAGAGTATGTCCTGGTGATCGGGCTCCGAGCATGGGAAAGTTTCAACATGATGGGGATCATCTTTGGCATCCTCCACAAGAAAGGCATGGGCAAGGGGCATCAAGCTATGGTCCTGTGCATGGAGCATGGCTGGATGGTGGCGGAGGTGGTATGGGTGGGGCCAAAGCGGAACTCCCTGATTTACCATCAACAGCGTCGCCTTTGGAGTTTGGAGATTGGATCCATCTATGTGGGCCTATCATGAAAGATCTTTCCAATCAGGCGGCAAGGTGGTGGTTTCTTACAACAACTCAGGCGAAGTGCTACTACGAGGAATGGAAAGAAGCAACACCACTACAGCGAGTGCAGATCCATCAAGGTCTTCCTGAAGAATTACATGCATCAACCATCATCAACCTATGCACGCACTGAACAACGTGGGGTGCACTTGATGTTGAAAGCGGTGAGTGCCAATCAGCAACAGGAGCTTGTGGTGGATCGAGATCTCAATTCAACAGCGATTTTGTTTCGTCTGTATGTACGCCATCAACCAGGTGGACCAGCAGAAAAGGGCATCTTGTTACGAAACTTGACCACGATGCCATCCTGCAAGTCGGCAATGGAGTGGACTGCAGCGCTGAGAAGTTGGCGCCGGCACTATGGAAGGGCGAGGGAGATTGGGGCGATTTTGCCCGATGGATGCCTGCTGATGAAGGCATTGGAGCCGGTGATTCAATTTTTGGCCAAGGAGGACTCTCAAGCTTCCTTCAGACTGTCGCAGAGCAGGTCTCAACTTCAGGCAGATGAACGACCAGACCACGTCAACTTGTGGCAGTTCTCACAATGTTTGCTGGCCGAAGCTGAGACGTTGTCGCTGTTTGGAGCCTCAGCCAAAGCATCATCTTCAACTACGAGCTCTCCCATCAAGGTCAAACAGTTGGATGGAAATGCTACTACGAAGCCTGCCATCAAGGATGACAAGCAGAAGGGTAAAGGCACCTCCAACATCAACAAACCATGTCGCTACTTTGCATCGGATGCAGGGTGCAGAGCAGCAAAGTCATGCAAATGGGTGCACTCTTGGGACAACATCGAGGACAAGAACAGCAGGTGTTGGAACTGTGGCACCAAAGACCACAGAAAGGTGGATTGCCCTGTGAAGGGCACTGGTGGCAAATTTTCCAAGCCAAGTGAACCGAACGGTTCAGGGGGAGATGGTGGTGCTACTTCAACGGCGTCTCCAAATCTGTCCTCTACAAGTTCAACCAAGCAGCCCTCGGCGCCGCCAAAAATCAACGAGATGTCAAGTGTGGTCAAAATGGATGAAGTTGGAGCACAAGATGAAGGCGGAGGTGATGGAAATAGCAAACATGGTGGGGCAAATGGGGCAGGTTCTACGGGTGGTAGCGCCAGTGATGTTCTCCTTCAAGAAGCTACGCAATGGCTGAAGTCGTTGAGGCTTCCCCAGGTCAAAGTCATGCGGGTCTCGCAGCTCAGTCATGAAGAAAGCGGGGATTGGGTGCTGTTGGACCCTGGGGCAACACATAGTCTGCGATCAGCAAGCAGCGAGGAGGAGTGGAGGACGGCCCAACCAACTGAAGTATCACTGGCAGAGGGAGTGACACAAAGTTTGAGATTGAAACAAGGGACACGATGTTTGCTGTCCAACCCTGCGGACGAGAATTACAAGTCTTGGATCTTGCCACTTGGAGGCCTCACAGACTTGGGCTTCAAGTTTGAATGGTCAGGCCAAAATTCCTGTGCTCTTCAAGATCCAGCAGGTGAACACGTTGAAGTCCATGTGCATCAGGGTTGTCCAATGGTTTGCAAAAGGGATGGTGAAGTTTTGATGTCGAAGCTGGAAGCCTTTCACATGAGAATGGTGCAGCGGTGGGTGGTGCTGAACATGATCCGCCAAGATCCAAGGCTGCTCACCAACCAATTGGATGTAGAGATGGCGTTGAATGTCAAAATGATGGACTTGTGGCCTTCACTGCCTCAGGACATTGCAATGCGACTGGTCCCAAACATGGCTGAGGTTAGCTGTGAACCACGGGGTCTTCCGTGGAACCGTGCAAAGCGCAAGCGACTTCGCAGGGCAAAGAACATCATCTTGCATTTCTAATCAATCCCAGAAGGTTGTGAACCGAGGGTTGCTGTGGATGCTTCTTTTGTCATCAATTTGTACAACAAGTTGCGTCGTTGTCCAAAGAAGATCCGTAACCCACATGGGGACCTACGGGGCCAACTCGTCACGCTGCTGGACAAGCAGGTGAGCCTCACTAAAGTTAAGTCCCATATCACGCATGAAGAGCATGTTTCTCTTGGTAGAGAAAGCTGGTCATGGCATGCCAATCAATGTGCTGACGAACTAGCTAGCATTAATGCTGCTGCTGTTGCGCCCTTTGAGGTGGAAGGTCTGAATAATTGGATTCTTGCCAGGGTTAAAAAGTTGACCATGTGGATGATCCCTCGCATTAAGTATTGGCTTGCTGCTGAAGCGGTTGTGCCTAAAAGGGTTCCTGATGGCCCCCCACGTACTAAGCATGAGTTGTTTAATCAAGCTGAAGCTAAAGGTTTTGGTGGTCATGTTTGGAGACGGTGCCCTGAGGGTATGCGTTGCAACGCTTGCTGTAGTATCCTTAAAACCTATCGGACTTTGCCTGACTTGGAAGTCATGGCTGCCTTGCCCTGTTCGGGTGCTGGTGCTCAAGTGGGGTGTGGTCACCCTTTGCTTCACAAAGTTCATTTTACTCATACCATGTATGGTACACAATCAACCCTTAAGTGCTCCCAATGTGGTGGGCGATTAGCTGCTGGGTGCACCAAAGCTGTTAGCCGGAAGTTGAAATTTCCGTGTGGAACCTCAGGCGCGCGTTTGTACCGACGTAGAGGCTAATCTTGTAGAAAAAAAAATCTTGCATTTCTACTCAGGTCCCAATGTCAAATTCTGGGAGAAGGAGCTGGGCACTCGAGACACCGAAGTTCTTTGCGTGGACGTTCTTGCCAATTGCAAAGCTGATGTGCTGGACGACAAAATCTACAAGTACCTATTGATGTTGGCCTCAACGGGCAAGGTGCGAGAAGTTCTGGGGGGTCCTCCTTGCAGAAGTGTCAGTGCTCTCAGGTTTCAAAACGATGGTGGGCCTGGTGTTGTCAAAACTGAAACTGACCCTTACGGGGCTCCTGGAATCACGGCGGAGGAACAAGCTTTGGTGACGAAGGACGCCCTGCTGTTTCTGCGCATGCTGTTTGTCTATGCCATCTGTGAGGATGTCAGAAGTTCAGAAGCGTTGCAAACAGGCTTGACCCTTGAGCAGCCTGAAGATCCAGCTAGATATCGACATCCTCAGGAGGTGGCTGAGAAGAAGTTCATGAGTGTTTGGAGGACACTGGAATGGCAGCAGCTCCAGCAACGGTTTGGTGTCAAGCTCATGCACATGGATCAAGGTCAAACGGGCCACAAAAGGAGAAAGCCAACAACGATGGCAGTGGCTTACTCAACTGGACGGTCTCAGGTGTGATGCCAATTTTGAAGCTGGCAGTGATGATGAGCGAAGAACTATGACTATGAGCCAACGATGTGCAGATTCGAAGTCATGGGCTGAATGGTCTCCAGGCTTGAAAGCGGCCATTGTGGTAGCGATCCAGCATCGACTTCGAAAGCAACATCAACAACAAGTTGGTCTTTTGCCTATGCACTTGCGACAAGAACCTGATTCCGAGCAACTTGAGGATCAACATCAGAATCTACAACTAAGGCCATTGAAAGCAACAACATTGGAGGCCTGGAGATCGCACTACCTGAATGATCACATGCCAGCTAGGCGTGACTGCCAACATTGTGTGCGGGCACAAGCTCGTGGACGGTATGAAAAGGAGCTCCTGGACAGGTGGAACGTTGGGAGTGGATCAGAATTCCCCATGTTCAAGCTGAGTGAGGCCGATTTTGAGGCGGTGTAATCAGTAGATTCAGTGGATGCGGGAGTTTTGAGAGAAGCTCAAGCCTTGGCAGGTGGTTTGCTGTGGTTATCAACGAAGTCACGCCCTGACTTATCATATGGAGTTTCCACTATGAGTCGGTTGATGACGAGAAATCCACAAAAAGCTTTGGATGTAGGCCAGGCATTGTTGCGATACCTCAAGTCCAACCCGGGAGATCTTCACTACACCCGGGACATTCCCAAAGATGGTTGGGGAGAAAGAGGACAGTTGAAGATTCAAAGGAGCAATCGCAGCATTGAGATTTTTTCCGACATCTCCTATGCGGCGGGAACGTCCTACCGCAGCATCCAGGGAGTGGCAGTGTTTGTGGGTGGAAGTCCCATAGCATGGCAAAGTTGGAAGTCCCATAGCATGGCAAAGTTCACAACAAGCCTTTGCTACACACAGTACTGCCGAGTCGGAACTGGTGGCTTATTGCGAGAGCTTGCTGATCGGACGGGCGACTGAAGCTTTGCTGTGTGCGATGTGGGGGGAGCCTTTAAACAACAATCCCTTCACTCGAGTCATCTACGGTGACAATCTGGCGGCAATTGGTTTAGCACATGGCAACACTTGCTCTTCCTGGAGAACGAGGCATTTGCGCATCAGAGCATCAATCCGCAAAGAAGCGATGGATGAAGCTTGTGAGGTTCCCGGGGGAGCTTGAAGATTGACCCATTTGAAGGGCTCAGAGTTGGTGGCCAACGGTTTGACGAAACAACTTCTTGGCCAGAGTTTTGAGAGGTTCCGTGAAGACTTGGGACTTCGAAAGAAGGCAGTGGAAAAGGAAAAGGTTGGGAATTCATCCACAACTATGACCTCAGGTGCTGCCATCAAGATCTTGACAGTGGGTAGCGTGTTGGTGGGCCATGCTAAGGCGATGTCCAATGCTACTGCAACGGAGGACGTGGATTTCACACTGGTGTGGACGGCGGGCATAATCCTGATGATCTTGGGTGCAATCTATGCCATGCAGCTGGTGACCAAAGGAATTCAATGCTGTGTGAAAAGATTGTGGAGGGCATCGGGCAGCCAGTATGACTGCAACGTGGGGGGAGAGCGTCAACTTCGATAGTGCGGGAAGCGATAGATGGATTTGAAACTGGTGATGTCTCTGCTCAGGATTTGCGAAGACGAGTTTTCGGAGACTTCACTGGTGATGGCAGACCTACAACACGGCAGAGGGCGGCGACACCATCGGCTCTGCAGGATCTACAACATGGCAGAGCGCAACACAATCGGGCTCTGCAGGTTCCACATCACAGCAAAGATCCTCGCGATCGGGCTCTGCAGAATCTACATTACAACAGAGGGTGACACAATCGGGCTCTGCTAGCGATGCTGTGGTGAATGCAACATTGAGGACGTCTTCACAGTCGGGCATTGCAGCGACTATCTCAGTGACGAGCGCGACACCATCGGGCTCAGCAGATGCATCGAGTAGCGTAGGTGTGATGTCAGGTGAAGATGGATCAAATGTAACCCGTAGGGTAGAAAATCAACTGGTGGTTTTGCCTTGTAATAGTTGGAACGAATTTCAAGGGGCCAACCGAGGGAAACATTGGGGATCTGAAAAGATGAGAGCTGAGTATTACAAGCAAAAAACCATCAAAGATGACAAATGCCTTGGGCCTATAGATTCCAGATTTTACCTGGACCATTTTGGTAGCATAGCTGCAGATGTAGCAACTTTTGAAGGACCCTCGATTTGTCGACCGACAAAGGGGGAGCTTGTCCAATTCAGGGCATTTCGCATTTCGAATCTGTAGGCATTTGTTGCACAAGTGGGTAAAGAGGCCCTTGCGTTCACAAGCCTGTAAAATCACTACGCGTAAAGTGCCATAGTTGGGATTCAGCCACCATAGTTCATGTCCCTTGTATCGGTTATACTGACTCTGCGCAGCTTATGGCCCAAAAAGATTACTGCTTGCCGGTTACTGTGTTTGTCTTGGATAGTGACACTGTGCGGTTCCTGTATAATACAGGTTATCAGCCGCATCCGCTCTTTCCGCCTGCTAGGATGGTGGCACCGGCCCCACCATTGAAGAAGTCGATGATGAACATATGAATGATGCACCAGTCATTGCCTATTTCCAAGTCATTCAAAACGACGATGCTCAAATCCAAACTGGTAATGTTGATGCCGTGAGCAGAAACTAGGCATAGGCAGATCATGGAAGAAATGATGACAGCTATGAGGGGTAGGTACAAGGTTGAACTTGAGCAGCAACGTTCGGTTCAGTGCCGATGCCCAACGCCAGCAGGCGCAGGCCCAGATCCAAATCGAGAGGACGCAAGTGCCACTTCTCAGCCATTCCCTGGCTCAGGTTCAAGGTGAACTTGATGAAGCCAACGCACAGCTGGTTCTGCTGAACCAAGCCTGGAGAGATGATGCAAATCAGCGCCATGAGCAACTGTTGGAACAGCAACGCCATGAGCTAGTTGAAAAGGAGATTGAGAACACTCTTGCACATGCCGAACGCAGTATCAAAACAGCTCAATCCAATTACCAAGAAATGGTTCAGAAGGAAAAGAAAGATTAGTTCGAGTTAGAGATGATTATCATGAACTTGTCATCAAAATCAATAAAGGATCATGAGCTGGAATTGGTCGAACTGGGACATGCTGCTAGTCAAAATGAAGCATTGCAGATTGAGAATTATCGTTCGTAGAGTCGTGTGGATGAGTTGCTGGAACGTATCAGCGAAGCCGGTGGGGTTGCGCCAACTGCGCTTGTCCAGACACCACTGCCGGAGGCAAAGCATTCAGGCACTATAGATGCAGTCGTCGAACGTCGTGATAGCAATCATATAGCATGCAGATAGAGCGTCCGATGTCGCAAAGCGAGCCAAGGAAAGGCTGCTTGGATGATCTGGGGTTTGCTAGTGACTTAAAGTTTTTAGGAATAGCATTCTAGTAGCTACCTAAATATCTTTTAAGAACATCTTAAGCATATGCTAACCACTTGTAAGGCTTCTATTTGTGTCAGGAAGTTAACCAGTGTCTAGCTAAAAATTGGCTAAAGTTTCTAAACAACATAATTATGTTAAGTGGTTAGCCATCAGAAATGCTAATTATGTTGAGGGAAGTTAAATACTTAGCCTCAAAGTTAGCATAGTTAGCTAAGTATTTAGCTAAGTGGTTAGCTAAGTTAGGAAATTAACATTTTGAATAGATTTTCATGTTTCTGGCCAACAAAACACAAATAAAAAACATGTCCATTAAAAAAATGCACGAAGTCTTGAAGAAAGCCAGAAGATTCACATTCTTTCAGTGAACCTCGTGAGAACACAAGAGAAAGCAGGGAAAAAAAAACATGGAAAAAATGTTAGCCATATATAAGCTCAATGACCCAAAAAAAGCTCTAGCAAGCTCAGAATCTTTAGCCCAAGCAGGCTCTCCTAAAGTTTCAGCTGTTGTTAAGCTCTTTTTCTGTGGACATTGTGCCACAACTTTGCTCTTGGTTTTCAAGGGAACCAAGGCAGGAAAACTTGCTGCTGTTTCTCTCAAGAAAATGTGTTCCCAAGGAACTGCTGCACATGGGTTGAACATTTGGTTAAATTACATGAAATAACATTAAAGACTTAGCTCCTGGCCTCAAAGGGCACAAGGAAACAAATAAAGAAGTAACATGGACACAAGTAAACAGGACAAGATGTAGACAAGACAACAGAAATACACAAGACAGCACAATATGCAAAGAAGCACCTCGTGCCAACACAAGAAAACAGACAGTGACTTTCTGTGACACTGGCTCGAAAGCCATGGCTGGTGCTGCATGGAAGGGTGAAGTGGTAAGGGTTCAGCAAGACAGCAGTCTACCCATTACCAGCAGATGCAACCGCATTCTGGAGATCCTGAAGCAGAATGGCCTATGCTACAGACAATGCATTGAGCCAAAGATGATTCTGGTGCATGTGAAGAACAGAGGTGGGCAACTAGTGTCTGTGTCTGATGTGCACAGCAAAGGTGCAGTGATGGCTCAGATTGGTTTCTCCATGGCCAAAATTGGAGAATCAATTTGTTTTGAATTGCCATCTGCTATGGCAGACAAAGACCAAGTGATAGAGACCAACAGGTCTTTGGCCCAGCTGTCCCAGAACCAGCTGTGTGAGCCACTTGGTTGTGAAAGGTTTGCCTCAGTGCCCAGCAGCCACTTGGTGACTTTCCTGAGGGCAGTGCAGGCTGGCTGCAAGACTACAGAGCCTGAGATCAGCACTGGTGGCTACCTGTCACTGGACTCAATGTGCCAGAAGAAGGATGGCTTGAAGGAGATGGTCATTACAGGATGGGAATGGCAGGTGATTGACAGCCAGGTTGAGTCCGCTTGCCCTGAACTTCCACAATTCCTGGCCCAAGCACTGAACTCTGACCATGCTGTTAAAACAGCAGCCAATGAGTTGGAAACTGCTTGCAACATTGCAAGCATCTATGAGTTGCAGGCCACCACCTCCAAGAACCTCAAGAAGGCCCAGGAAGCAGCTATGGCTTCTAGACCAGCCTGTGCCAACTACATTGCTGCCATCACTGCCTTTGTGAAGCAGTTCACTGGTGGTGATGCGTTTCCTTTGCTGAAGCTACTCCAGCCCATTGGCCTCTCAGCTGCAGCTAGACTGTTAGCCAGCCATAGCAAGCTCCTCCAAAGCAGCCATCAGAGGCTCCTTACCCAATTAGTTGGTTTGTTCCTTGAACTTGTTGCTTTACCAAAGCCATTTGCCCATAGAGGCAAACAATATGGTAGTTCTACAGTTTGGGGCCAGGAATTTACTGAATTGCTGGCCTACACTGACCTCAAGTGCCCAACTACCACCTACCCTTGGATTCGGTTGGCAATGGCAGCCTGCCACATGTGTGCTCCCAAGCAATACATTAGAGATGGCATCTCCAGGCTGCTGACCTCTGCAGATTTTTCCAAGCTGAAGCAGAAAGGAATGGCTGTGCAATTGGCAGCTGCTGAGAAGCTTCTGAATGAAGCTTGGCCTTTGTGTGGTCAAAGTTCACTTACCTTGGACCAGCAAGCTCAGCCCATGGGCCGCTACTTGACCAGGTTGGCTTTGTTCCTGGTTGGCAAAGGTTCTAAAGGGCCTGAAGGAAAGAATTACAAGCAGTTTGAAGACATCACAGAGCTCTTCACTCAAGAGCTGATGAACATGAAGGCCCATGGCTCCATGGACTTGGCAGAGCAGTTGCCATCCAGCAGTGCCAGTGTAGACAAAGCAGTGCAGCCAACTGCTTTGGAGGCAGGGTTTTTGATCATTTTTTTTACTGGTGTATATAGCAACCCTGTCATCATTTGGCCCTGCAGGCTAATTCAGACCCTGCCCTAATTGCATTGGCGCATTTCAAGAATTTGGAAGTGGGAAAACACTACACCTTTGCCACAGATCCTCTGAAGGTATACAAATTCGAAAGCATTAGTGCCACCACAGCTGTGCTTCTACACAAGCCATTTTTTGGTGCCCTTGAAAGATTAGAAGTGGAACGCAAGGACTTGGAAGGCTTGAGGGCTAGGGAAAAGTCAGTTCTCAGTTTGCAGCCAGCTGCCACCCTGACTGCCTTGCAGCCCAGTGCTTGCTTGATGGCTGAGTTTGGAAGGGCCAAAGCCCAACATTGGCTCTACCAGAAGTACCATGAGTAGCTTGGAATGATATTGGTAAAATTCTACCTGCTGTGGTGAGCCCTTTTTGTGTGGGGAGACTGATAATTTCTGACACTTCTTGCAGAGTCAGGCTGGGTGACTTCAATGTTGTGGTGTCCACTACTTCCCAGCTCTTTGCCAACTCCAAGTTCAACAAAAACGATTTGGTGTTGCTTCCACTTGGCCAAGTGATTTTACAGAAAAAGGACAAGATCAACAAGAGTTCTGTTGTGCTTCAGATGACTGGCTGGAAATTTGAAGAAGTTTTGGAGGTGACACATACCAAGTGCAACTTTGAGAAGAAGAGTGGCCACTGGTGTCCATTCTATTGGTGCAAAGAGGCCAAAGATGACAAGGGCAAAGATGATGCTACCTGTGAGAAAGCCACCTTGACCAGAGCGACTGTGAAGCACCATGAGCTGACCATTCCTTGCCTGAAGAGCAAGGTGGCCCTGCAGATTGGATCCCCATTGCTGGTTGAGTTTCAAGAGGAAAGCAAGAAGAAGAAGAAGAAGAAGAAATCCAGAGACTGAGGCATTGAAAGCTGTCTTCCCAAGAAAGTGTTTGCTGCCTAAAACAAGCTGTAGGAAGCTTCAGCACCTAAGACTGTACAGAAAGCTCTTGCATTGTTAGTCATCAAAGGCTTTTTAAATCACAAGCTATAGAAAGCTCTTATTTGAAAAGCAGTGAAAAGCTTCTGCCTTCAAAGCTATACAAAGCTCAAGCCAAAGGTGTTGCCAAAAGAAATGCTTCAGAGGTTTCATGCCTCTTGTTTGGCAGGCATTATTCCTCAAGTGTAGCAGATTGCTAGCTTAGCCAGCCGTGGTGGACATCTCAGAGAAAGTGGCCTCCCCTACAAAGGTGTTAATAAGGCTGTGGTGCCAGGCAACCTTGTGTCTGTTGGTCCTGGTGGAAGGAAGCTTCTGAAGATACAGGGCAGCCATCCCCTGGTGTGCAGATTGGTGGCAGCAGACAACCTGGAAGCTTTGAAGACCTGCAAGAACCCTAGCCTTTGCCAGGGAGATGCTTTTGATTCTTTGAGGAAGAAGCAAGAAGAGGCTTTGCACAAAGCCTTGTCTGAGGCAAAGGAGGAGGAAGAGAAGGAGAAGGACTTGCTCAAGGTTGAGAAGCCTCCCAAAAAGAAGCTCAAGCTTTCCAGTGGCCCTGACTTTTTGACCTTGAACTTAGATGGCAATGGCATTGAGGTCCTCAAGCCCGGCACTTGGAAGGACAAAGATGTTTCTGTTCTGCTGGATGCTGGCTGTCACTTTTGATTTCTTGTCCACAGATGTGGACACCTGCTTCAAAGATGGCAACAAGAGAAGTTACAGAAAGAAAGGTGACAAGAAAGATGAAGATGAACCTCACAACAAGTGAGCACTTCCTTGTCCTGATGCAGAGAGGAAAAACGTATCTTGTTGCTCTTTGCTCAATGCTTGAGCTTCAGAAGCCTTAACATAGGCTGAAATTTACTAGCTCTCTGAAAGCTTAGTTGCTCTAGCCCTGTTGCAGGCTCATTTCAATTAGCCATTTAGAGGCTCATAATAAGTAGCCCTGAGCAAGCTCATTGCATGGCTAGCCTTTGGAAGGCTCATATAATACTTAGCCCTTAGCAGGCTCTTGGATTTGCCCTTGCAAGGCTCATGGACCAATTAGCTTTGATCAGGCTCATAGCATGTACTAGCCCTTGGCAGGCTCACTCTTAAATAATAGCTGTTTGAAAGCTCATTGTATTGATTAGCCCATAGCAGGCTCAGTTTTTTTAAAGTTTTCCAGTGTTTTTTTAAAACTTGCCCTCCCGGGGATCAGCCCATTCATATGGGCCCATGGCTGGGCTTGGTTCAAGCTCAAAGTGCTGAGTAAAGGCACTACTGGTGTGACAATGGGCACCACAGAGGATGAGTTTGACTATGCTTTTTGGGCCAATGAGTTGACAGAAGCTCATGAGGCTCAAGAGGCTGAGAATGAGTGGTACCAGAAGAAGCAGGAGGACCCAGTTTGGCCAAAGTGTTTTTTAAAACCATGAGAGAGATGGGGTTGATCACTACCCTGTGGCAGGATCAGAGTGCTGCAAATGCACCTGGACTCAACTTCATCATTTTTTTAACTGACCCTAAAAATATGTGGGATTTGTTTTTAATACATTCTTCCATGGTGAGCCATCCTCAGGAACCATCAGATGATGTGCCAACTTTGGCTGCTCCAGTGGTACCTGTGGTTGAAGGTGTGCCCACTGGGCCTGTGACGACAGTGGGTGGACAGCAGTATGAGGAGGTCCACTTGGAGAAGGCTGACTTTAAGGTGCTGGAGTCCAAGCCTAAAGCCAAACTACCGCAACCTTCTACTAGACTTAAGGGTGCTATGAGACCTCCTGAGCCTGAAGGCTCTCCCCCCAAGAGGCAGAAGGTGGAGACTGAAACGAAGCAGCTCTTCTTGAGGCATGGAGCGGTGAAGCCCAAGGTGGAGGAGGAAGAGGATGTGCCACTGAGCAGTGACCAGATTGCCAGCAGAATCTTTGCTGCTCTTGTTCCTTGGCTGTGCTTGTTTTTCTTTTTTGGGGGTGTTGATACAACAAGGAAACTTGAATCATGTGTTCCCTTGGACTTTCTGAGGCTGAGCATAAGAAGGGTGGAGATGGGCGTCCTAAACATGGTGGTTCTCTGGCTGCTGCAGTGGCTGCCAGTGCTGCACCAGCTCCTGCAGATGTTGGACCTGCACATGCACCAGCTTCTTGGCTTTTTAATTCAACTTTGACTAGTCTTTGGGGATAGTGGCTTTTTCTTTTAAACAATGTAGTTGGAGGCTCCATGGCATGGAGTACCTGCACCACCTGCTCCAGCTGGACATGCTGGACATGGAGTCCCTCAAGGATCTGCTGGGCAAGGAGTACCCGCAAACCTGACTGCACAAACCGGAATTGTGCACAATCAGGATGGCTTCCAGTGGCAAGATGTGCGTGGACAGTGGCACACCTATCGCTATGCACCTTGAACTCACTTCATTGATTTTTTGGTGGTGTTTTTTAAGCGTTTTTTTCCCTCTGATTCCAGCATGTGAGGCTGAGAAGCGCAAGACTGGGTTCCAAAACAACTTGGTTACCCTGGTTGCTCTCTATGCTTCAGGGGAGTTACGCCGGTGTGAGCAAGAGATGGTGAGATTGCAGCAGTTCTACCCCATCCAAGACCAGCTGTTCCAACTTTTGAGCCTCCACCAATTGGTGGGCTTGACAGCGTTTCACCTCTTAGGATACTTGGCTTGGCCCAAGCAATCCTGATGACAGTGAAGAGGTGGGAAAGAAATGACTCTCAGCCCTTGAAGGCTCAAAGGTTTTAGCTTCAACATGCTCACAAGTCCTAGCCCTTGTAGGCTCACATAGATTAGCCCTTGAAGGCTCATATTTAAGGGCTGCCGCCCCTGCCGCCGACCCCGGAAAAGAGAAAGCTGGCTTCATTCGAGTGTTCTGTGAGTTGTCAGCCTGGATGCTTTATATATACATTATATATATATGCATCAAATAGTATATACTTGTGTGTTGAATTGAAATTTTGCTAGTCCCTATCCCTGCCATGAAGCTCAAGCATCCATCCTTTTGCTTTCCGTTTTTCGGGGGTGGTGTGTCCTCCTCCCCGTGCGCGAGACATAGTCTTCGCACGGGAAAGGCACATCAGTGAATCATAAAGAGTTGTTTGAAAGCAAAAGAATGGATGCTGACTGGCGATGGAGCATGTATCGCGTTTGTCTGTCGTGTGATGCAAAAAAGCAATGTTTTTTATGCCAGACAAAGCAGACGAAAGAATACTTTAGCCATGTAGCTTGGCAAACGCGGGATCCCAAACGTCGATTGTGTTTGCAATGCCAGACCAAGACCCGCGGCTCTTGGAAATGCGCCGTCTGCCACCAGCGGCGGTCGCGGCACCACTTTTCGAACTTTATTTCCAGGCGGCCCTCTGGCGAAAATGGAACGCAGATATGCGACGCATGCCATGCTGCGAAATTGCAGCATGCAGTCCGTAAGCGCGCTGCTGCTTCCAGTGCAGCTCGCCTAGAGCCCCTCCGGAAAAGAATTCGCCGCAGGCACATTATCCAGGAGACATGGGAAGCAATCGCTGCAAACAAGAAAGCACGCACACATGATCATTCGACAGATCCCGTGGAAATGCGCTCTGCTGACATGGCGTCGGCCGGCCTCTTGCAGGCAAGCAGTAGGGAAAAAACAGTTGCGGCGGCGCTGACGTGCGAAGAGAAAACTACAAATGAGGTTGCTACCGGTCAAAAAATGGATGCGATCCATTCATCGACCCAGCCGCGTGCTGTAGGGCCCAACACAGCACCGCCACAACTGCACACATACATCTGCCCGTACTGTGCCAAGTCTGTACAAAGCCCTGTGGCAACCGGGCGCGTCGATCACCGCCGCAGTAAGGGCTGCGGCAAACAATTTCGCGTTGCCAATGGCCTGCTCGCAGGCCGCACATACTCGCATGCATGTCCAACATGCGGCACGGTGGTGCACTCAACACTGGCTTCCGGCCAAATTCGGGTAACGCATCGCAATCCCAGCGGCCGGCAGTGTCGCACCAACCAGTGGCGCGTGCAGACCTGATGAAGTTTCCAGCTTAAGGTTGCCACACAGCACGGCAATGCCCCACATTACTGTCTGAACCTACAAGAAAAGTAGCCGTTTTCCAGCTTTCCAAGCTTAGAAACGGCGCCTCCGCCACGCCCAAACAGCAGGGCCCTGAAGGACAGACCGGGCCTGCCGGCAACGGCCCCTACTGCCTAACGTTGCTTTCTGAACCTATAAACAGCAAGGCCCTGAAGGACGGACTGGGCCTGCCAGCAACGGCCCCAGCGGCCTAACGTTGCTTTCCCAAATTACACGAAAAGTAGCCATCTTCTAGCTTTCCAAGCGCAGAAACGGCGCCTCCGCCACGCTCAAACAGCAGGAAAAGCATCAAAATTGCGACCAAAAACTCCCGAATGTAACTTCTGAAACCCATAGAAAAGGATGATTTTTTAGCTACTTTTTCCTCCTGCTGCTGCTGCTCCTCCTCTTGCTACTCCTTCTGTTCAAAGAAACGGCGCCTCCGCCACGCTCAAACAGCAGGGCCCTGAAGGACGGAAAAGGCTCAAAATTGCGACCAAAAACTCCCTAATGTAACTTCTGAAACCCATAGAAAAGGATGATTTTTTAGCTACTTTTTCCTTCTGCTGCTGCTGCTCCTGCTCTTGCTGCTCCTTCTGTTCAAAAGACAGCTCCCGGATGGGAAAACACCATGGCAGTGAAGGACGGAAAAAGCGTCAAAATTGCGACCAAAAACTCCCTAATTTCCAAGCTCAGAAACGGCGCCTCCGCCACGCTCAAACAGCAGGGCCCTGAAGGACGGAAAAGCATCAAAATTGCGACCAAAAACAGTTCAGAAACGGCGCCTCCGCCACGCTCAAACAGCAGGGCCCTGAAGGACGGAAAAGCATCAAAATTGCGACCAAAAAGTGCCTAATGTAACTTCTGAAACCCATAGAATCCCCCTGGGATATAGCTGTACAAAATCAGGGGGGTTGAGCTCCAAAAACAGGTTCATTTTATACAGGGGTTTCCCTCTGTGGTTGGGCTCCACTGGGAGGGTTGTGATTCTATACAGGTCTCAGGGTGTCAAACTCGAGCTTGGAGGTCTACGTTTTATACTAGGGCTAGCTTGGTGCATATGGTGTTGGGGGTTCTTATTTTATATTGATTTCCATTTTATGCTAGACTCGAGGCAAGGCTTGGGGTTCAATCTTTGTACTATGCTCAAATACACCCTAAAATCAAGCCCTTGTTCCTATTTTTCTACTGTGAGGCTTGGGGGTCTTGATTTTACACAGATGTATACATATAGAATATTATCGAATTATATATATATATATATAATATTTTTATATA